ATTATCCGATGCGCATGCGTGACATGTCCGCCTTCTCAGTTATAACGAGCGGTTAAAGCGTGCTATGTATCAACTCTTGCCAGGCCAACGACAAAAGCATCTCCTCTTTAAAATTTATGCACGTGGTTTCGATAGAGGATTTAAAGATGTGCATCGCCTCTAACCATTTGAGATGATCATTGGGAGGCGCACCGAGGAGGAGATTGGCCCTAGTAAAGTCAGCAACTATGCCCGGGTCTGTTGCGCATGTTGCGAGGGCCATGTTGGTTCTTCCGTGACGAATGTCTGCCTGATGTTCCTGCATTCTGACACCTATGGATCTTTTAGTAGAGCCTATATATACTAAGTCCTTATTGAATCTATTATCTCTCAAAGGGACACTATAGACTCCTGGTCTTCTGTTAGGGTTAGGGGGTCCTTCCCATTCGTTAAGATGGTTAAAAATAGCAGGACACCTCCTGTAAGCAATACGTAACGAATACCCGTCACCTTTAACCCATATGTAAGGGCTATATATGATAGGATTGCCAAGATACGCCATATACGTATTGCTTACAGGAGGTGTCCTACTATTTTTATCATCTTAACGAATGGGAAGGACCCCCCCTAACCCTAACAGAAGACCGGGAGTCTATAGTGTCCCTTTGAGAGATAATAGATTCAATAAGGACTTAGTATATATAGGCTCTACTAAAAGATCCATAGGTGTCAGAATGCAGGAACATCAGGCAGACATTCGTCACGGAAGAACCAGCACGGCCCTCGCAACATACGCAACAGACCCGGGCATAGTTGCTGACTTTACTAGGGCCAATCTCCTCCTTGGTGTGCCTCCCAATGATCATCTCAAATGGTTAGAGGCGATGCACATCTTTAAATCCTCTATCGAAACCACGTGCATAAATTTTAAAGAGGAGATGCTTTTGTCGATTGTCAAGAGTTTGTCTTTTGTCTTTTGGCAAGAGTTGATACATAGCACGCTTTAACCGCTCGTTGTAACTGAGAAGGCGGGCATGTCACGCATGCGCATCGGATAATTTTACAGCATTGTTCGAACTCAAGAACGAACTTATTTGAACATCGTTAAAGGCTATCGTTAACGGCATTCGTTAAATTCAAAGGCATGCGCGACATAGAATTTTAAAAGAACTATTCGATCGCAAGAACGAAATTATTTGAACAACATTTGTCAATCAAATTTTACGAGCTAAAACCTGATGAAGAGCCCAGAAGGGGTTCGANACATAAAAAAAATTAAATTAATTAAATTAAATTAAATATTAAATTACATAAATAAAGTACATTAATTATAATTTAGCATAAATTGAATTTATACTAAAAATCAAAAATATGATGTTGAAACCACCAAAATTGGATAAATCATCATAAAATTCTGTTTGGACAACTTTTCATCAACATTGCAAAAGTTTTAAGAGCATAAGACCCTAAAGGAACAAAAATTTGCATAAAAAGTTGGTTGGTTTGATAAATTTGCAATTATTTCCTTGAGAACTGATGAAAAGATTCAAAATCTGAAAAATTATGTCATTTGTTTTAACTTCTTTGATCTTTTTTAGATTAATCCCATCAACATTACACCAATGATTTTGGTTGTACCCTCTGGTGACATTTTACATTTTTTCAAAATGCACAATATATATAAATTAACAAGCTATAATACATTCAAGTAAATTTTTATCACTGGAGTCAGGTAGGTCTTGAAAGGTAATTAAAAAAAATCAATTTAATCAAAATTGGACTACTGGGGCTTGAGTAATTTGGATTTGAAATTTGGATGAACATCAAACATGTTAAAGTGCAGTGCTACCACTACTGCCCTTGATTTAATTAACAACATTATGCTGACTTTTATCTTACAAATGGAAATTTCATGTATATGACAAAAGATTTTGCCCCCCAATTAATAGATTTCATCCCCAAAATACTCAGATACATAAAATATAATATATAAAAACACAATTAACTACATTAAAAAAAAGTTTTATGATAACTTTTCTAATGTGTAAATTATTAAAACATTTTTAACAATATCAGTTAATAAAACTGGGAAATATTCATTTTCTGTCAAAAAACTATTATAGAAAAAATTTATCTCAGAGCAAATCAAATGACTTATCTTTGTTATTTACTGAAAGTAAAACTGGGAAAAAGTTATAGAAACTTAAATAATAAATCTACTAAAAAGTAAAATAAGAAATAACAATTAAAACATCTATTTTAATTTTTCATTGTTTATTTTTATCTAAATAGAAACTACAAAAACTTTTTCTTTATCACAAAACTATGAATGCATTGTTCAGTAAATAAATATTTTCAGTAAAAATTCAGTATATAAATTTTTTAAAAGAATTTCTATTTTTGTTGCCAATGAAACTTCTTTATGAATTAATGTTTATCACCTGCATATGATATTATATACACACTGCATTATAAATTAAAGAAATTTTATTGGCAACAAAATCATTTGGAATNGAACTATTCGATCGCAAGAACGAAATTATTTGAACAACATTTGTCAATCAAATTTTACGAGCTAAAACCTGATGAAGAGCCCAGAAGGGGTTCGAAAACGTTTGTTTTTTATGATTAGTCGATCGTTCCACACCGTAAATTGGTTCAGTGTTTGTGTTTGATATATAGGTGTGGTGAGTAGTGAATTTTTTGGTATAGGATGATTCGTTAACGTGCAGAATTCAGCATTTTACCTAGGTAATCTGCACATTAATGTCTTCTGTATCATTAAAGTTCAAAAGTTTGTTTCTCTCATTTCCTTTCTCTATTACTTCCCGAACAAGACAGAGCAAAAACTGATGCACGCTCAATTTTAGCTGTTGTTCTTAGTAAAACAGACAATGGCTTTTATAAACTTGGTACTAAAACGGGTATTTTATAACAATTGTATGCAAATCTGAATTCGGTGTTTGTGTAGATTAATTTTTAATGAAAGATGATGTCCCTGCTGTAGAAATATGTTTACGTCAAACAGCAATAACAATCCCTTGGTACTGGGCAGGGTTTCAGAAAATGTGACTGCAAATCTAAGTGTACCACAAATAGGTGTGCATTGTCGCAAAAACCAATTGCATTGTAATTCAAAGTGTCACCAATCTTTAGATTGCACTAATAAGTAAGCACAATTTTATCATATGTTTAGCAAATTCATTTCCCTAATTGTAATAATATTTTAAACTGTTTGATTTTTTTGTATTACAGTTTTTTAATTGATTGATGATTGATTCTATCAACTAATTTGTTGATTATAATATAAATTTTTTCATCTACTAGTACATATCTTCTATTATCAGGACTTATTAGACTGGCTTTACAGATACTGCAACAACATTTCACAGAAAATACATACTAGTAGACGAAAAAATTTACACTCGACCCCACTTGACCCCCCTATAACACTGTTGATAATTCCATTTTATATGAATTCCACGTTGTACGAGTCACTTAGATTTTACAAATACGTGTGCTGTGAACAGCTCATGTATTTGTAAAATCTAAGTGACTCGTACAACATGGAATTCATATAAAGCAGAATTAGCAACAGTGTTATAGGGGGGTCGGCTGTATATTATAATAAACCAAAAACATTGAGGCATATTAATTTAATTTGTTGATTGTTTGATTGTATTAACTTGATTCTTGAAACGTTGCTGTTGTTTCAGCAAAGATCTTATTTTCAGTTTACCAAGTGCCTAGTTGGTAATGTGCAGATTACCTAGATCATCTGCCCATTACCTAGGTAATTTGAGAAATGAAACTATTTTTGAAACGTTAACGGATCACCCTCGTTAATCTGGAGATTTAGCTAGGTAATGTACACATTAATGGCTTTCGAGCTTTAGTGATAACATATATATGGATATGCTGCCAGAAGGCTGGAATCACTCAACTCTCCAAAGTTCTCAAAATCAATTCACATAAAATATCAGACAAAGGGCTCCTCATCCCTCTCCTCTATATAAAGGTTTCATTCTTGTATAAAATGAACAATAACACATTATGTGCACAAGTTCTAAAATATCACAACAGTACTTAACTGCATTCTTCATCTTAGCAAACAATAAATCTTATAACTTAAAAAAGCAGGACTGAATCTTAATGGAAAGATACAATGATACAAAATCAGAATCATGTATATTTAGAATTACTAATTAAATACTGTTTTGTGATTAATCAATATTCATATTATCATAAATTTTATTTTTCATTACTTACTTCAGTAATATAAGTATGACTACTTACACTAATAAAATTTTTGGCTTAATAAACCTAACTTAATATTTTTAACTTCATTTTCAAATAATTCCATACAATTCCTAAATATTAAATCATTAATTAATTAATTAATGTAAAAAAAAATTTAGATACTATTGCATTAGATACTAGTCAATACCACAAATATTGCAGACAATGAACTGTGATATAAAAATATAAATCTAACCAATAGATAATTCATCCCACTATCAATAATTAATAATAATAAAATAAACTAATTGTATAGAAACAAATATAAAACTCTAAATATCAAATATTACCTCATGTTTCTGGCTCCATATTATTATCTGTATAAAATGCTTACTTTCAGTTAGCCAATTGTTAAAATTTTCACAAAGTAACATTCTTTGTTCTGTGAAAATTAACTTGTACCTTAAGAAGCTGAAGCTGTCCTAAAAATAGATTGAAAACGTTCCTTCATAAAAATTTAAACAGCCTGAAAGTAAGCATTTTATACAGGTATTTAAATACCTGAAAGTAAGCATTTTATACAGATAAACTCCAAATAATAGCAATAAATCAAGAAGGCCCAGAGAGAATCTACATAAAATTTAATACAGTCAGTTTCTGACTTGAGTATGTCGAAGTTATATAACTTCAAACTTGCATAAATTGTTTTGGTACAAAGATACTTCTGTACAATTTTAATAATGTGAACAATTTGGATCATTAAAATAATAAACATATACAGACATGAAAATATTCAAACCTCAAGAATGTTTCCTTATGTGCCACATTTTCTTTGCTTTTATGAAACAAAAATGTGAAAAGCAAAAATAGCATTTACTGTTTATTTTACAGTGAGCTGTTTTAGAGACATCGGTGTGCACAAATAGCATCAAGCTACCATAGCTTCACACTGTGTCTGTGAGCATCTGTGTTTTATGTCAATTTATCTTGTGAATCCATTTGCAAAAATATGAAAAGTCTATTGCTTGATGGGTTTACAGCATTCTGTCTTTACTTAAAATAGATCTCTGAATTTAAGTGATCAACCAGTCTTTTCAATAAACTAAAACCGTCAACAGACTATGGTGATGAAAGTATTGTAAAAATGACATTTAAAGATAGCCACAGACTATGGTGACGAAAGTATTGTGAAAATGACATTTAAAGATAGCCACGGACGGTTTGATTGTTTTATGAGATGACAGCAGTTTCACAACTCAAAAAGTTGCTTACTGAAAAGAGTACACCTGATGTAATTTAATTAACATCACTGTATTTACATTTCTACTTTATATAAACCTGTGTACTTATCATTCATTCCCACTTTTACTTTATTATTTTAGGTTTTATGCGTTATTTTGTATTATTTAGTACATTATTTTGTGTCTGGAAAGACTTAAAAATTTTTCCCCTACAAATTAATAATAATTGCTTCTTTTCTTACACCATTTCAATCTACAAAAGGTTTCACAGGAATGCTCTACTTTTGGACAGTGGGGAACATGTATATGAAATTCAACTTAGAGATCTCAGAACATATCTTGTGCATATGTTAATGTCAAATTGTACATACAACAAAATATGCCCAACTTCTAATTTTAAATGTTAAGTATCTTCAACGAGTGTTAAATACAAAACCTAAATACTAAATCTAAAACCTACAAAACCTAATATACTAAGATCAATGGCATAAAAACATAATTAAATGTACTAAATGTAATTGTAATTTACTAATATACGTTTATTGTCTGTTTCCATTCCTTATTATATAAAGTTCTTTAACTTCAATTATTTAATACTTCTATATTTATAATTATAAAAGTATTAAAGGCAGTTAAAAATTGGAACCATTTCGTTCATTAGATGTATTTTTATTGAGTTAATTAATTTTTCAGTTATTTAAATTACAAAATTTCGCATCAACCTTGAACTTAACCTTCTCTAACTATAAATATATTATTATATTCGTCTTAAAAAGACAACTTTACTATTTATAATTGAGCAGAAGCATGTATGCTCACCTACCAATCATCCTCGCGAAAGTAAACATTGTCAGTGTTGCCAAGCATAAAATTAAAAAATTTTTAGTATCAAATAAATGTTTTAATTTATCTAACTATTTTGTGATAATAAAATATTCTATATTTATAATGTGATATTATTACACTATTTTATAACTATTAAGCTTTAAAAATTAAAAACGTAAATTGAATTAATTCTAAGGACGAACTTAAATGCAGTGTTTCTGTTTTCATTTTCAATTATTTGATTAATTTTGGCTAATAATAGGTACAATTACAGATCTGAATGAGATGTTGGTATTTTATCAGAGCTGCCCGTTGGAGTAAAAAATAAAATAAAAAAGTGTGACCCTTCACTAGACAGGCTACTTTTGGAGGGGGGATTTTGTACACCTTCAAAAATGGGGTATAATTTAAAAGTGAAAAAATCTGAAACTATTTCTCAAAACAATGTCAAAGAGCAACTGTTTTCCACTTTACTAAAGACAGTGAAAGATCATAAAACACGAGAAACGCCATTGCAAAGTTTATTTTTAGGGTCACGCTGTTTGTTCTGTTAAGCCTATTCAGAGCCGGCCCTACCATTGGACGAACGGAGCAGCCGCTCCAGACGCTAAGTCCTAGGGGCACCTCAGTGGTAAAGAAAATTAAAGGGTATAAATTAGGGGCAACCAAGGTGGGCGCCATAATAGGATCTCGCTCCATCCTGAAATTCGCCTCGTGCCGGCACTGAGCCTATTACGTGTTTAACAAGCAATCCGGTGACGGCCGGAAATCAAGGTGGCAATCTAACGCTCTGGGAAACCCTGGATCAAATCCGTACGGGTCCGACTGGATATGTCAATCTACGTCCCTCAGCACGCGGCCGCCCCATTGTGAGCTTGGTCGAACCCATAATGGGATTGCTTAAAAGAGGCCCTCTTAGTGCCCACAGGGCGGAAAGAGTTTAAAAAAAACAAGTAACCCGGTCAGGTATTTCTAACAATATTTATCGGCAAATAATACAGAAACATCTCATCATTACAGCGGTCAATTATTCAAGCAACGTTTCACACAAATATTGCATTAGGTCTAGGGTTTCTCATTTCCCGGTATTTTGCTTGTCCCGGGATCCCGGGATAAAAGTGAACTGTTTCCCGGGATCCCGGGAAATCCCGGGATAGAATTAATTATTTTTAAGGTATACAAAATATCTTGAAATCAAATAATATAATTATTTTCCATTTTTTAAAGTAATTTTAAAGTTCTGTAACCTCCAAAATCATATTAATAATGCTGTGTAAGGTCTATAGGCCTATAATAAAAATTACCTTTAAATAACGTAGAAATTTTCACAAATAGAAAAAAATTAATTAAAGTTTGCTGGAAACTGCATACAACAACAACAA